AAATGTAAACAAACATCGCCAAGGTGTCGGGCGGGGGATGATAGAACTACGACCTGTGAGCGAGCAAGTATGGGAGAACAAAAGAACGGCGTAGTCAAACGGTGGATTCTAGTTTGCTAGACCAATATTCCACGAGATGACGACTAAGGGGATGCAAACGGTATAGAGCGCGCGCCGGTATAGCGAACAAAAAAACGCAGCGACGAATGATCGGACGCCCTTCAGTCTAATATTCGGCATGTTGGTTAAGAGTGCAGCGATATCGCGTGAACGGAGTGAGCGTCAGCCACCCGTTTTCGCGGATTAAGCGCGCTGTATAGATTGGGGAGTGCAGGAACATGTGAAAAGAGGAAGGAAACAAACACGAGAAATGGAATACAAAATCGTTTATTTGAAATTTTTCTTAAGAATACATAATTGTACTGACAAAATAAAGTTTATACATTTTATGATTTTCAATAGAATCAAATTTAATTATAAATGATAAAAGTATACATTAATGTATGAATTACAATTTTCGTTGAAATCTAATTATATGTACAATTTGATCGAAGTAAAGAGCGATTAATTCTAAAAATACAATTTCAAATTAATCGTCGAGAAATGTTAAATCTTTTAGTTGCGTACGTACATTAGTTTGTATTTCGTGACAATTTGATTTGAACGCGAGTTTTATAATATCGTTTTCGATATAGCCCACGATAGGTAGTCTTATTTGTATTTCATTAATAAGATATTTAGCGCAATCATTGGCACCAGTGGTGATTATATTCAGTCGATTCAAATTAGCGTTTACACATTCGAGTATATTTTCTAGCCCCAGAAAACTAGCTCTCTGCATTGCTATAGCGAGCAAATAAGTCCGGCGTTTCTTCGGAGCATGAATTTCTTCTTTAGTCGTGATATTTTCCAAAGGTTGAACTTCTTGTCCGTTTTCTCGATATGTCAATAACAAAGCTCTTGCTCCATAAACAGTGGTGAAATTTATAATTATCTTGTTGATAATAATCGAGTTTGCCGTAATACTATTTCCATTTAAGTAATCCGACATTTGCTTCATATTTTCTTGAAATTTTTGCCATTCCGCCATGTTGAAGCAAATACCATCGGCTCCCTTGGACGAAAATTTAACGAAAGGTTGAAAATCAAACTCGTCGCCGTTGATTGAAGTTTGCAGCCCAACATGAATTTTCTTCGTATAGGAAAAATTCAATCCATATGTTGTAGATAACAGCATGCAATTCTGCACAATTTTTTCGGAGATGTCGCATCTTGCTTCGGAAGTGTCGCTGCACTTTGTCGGCTTTTCGGATTTCACAATTTCCCGTCGTTTATCCATGACACTGATTTTTATACGCAGACGCGAAACAAAAATACGAAAACTGAAACTTGTTCGCTGTTGAACTTGTAGGTTCGAATGCTAGGAGACGAATGAGAAAAATGTTACAATCTTCCGCGTAACAGAAAATCGGAAAATGGTGGGGGAAATTTGAACACATATAAACTTTTAAGCACTATGATTGGGCGCAAAGGCGACGCATTAACAAATATTACTTTTCCGAATTCCCACGAAAATTCTACTAGATAAAGAAAGTTTCAATTTTCGTGTCGCAACATGTTACGGAATAAATTTTCATGATCTTACAACGGAAAAATTTTTGCTACTTTCTTGTGGTTTTTCCCGGGGGTTGAGCTACCCACCGGGCGCGTCTCCAGGTGGCGGATAGGAGGATGCCCAGTAGGTGTGAGTTTTCTGAGGGGACTTAGTGCTGCTGGGTAGTGGCGGTTATAACCTGGCCCCACGGAAGTAAAACCCTGTAGAGGGTAAGGGAAGACCGTTGCCGCGGACCAGCTCCCCAAGCCAAGTTGTAAGCCATCGTGGCGATGGCTGCATGTCACTGGGGAAGCAGTGTCGCGAACGATGCCTCTGGGGAACCGGGCGAAACCCCAGAGTATCCAGCCTTACCCACGCATGCGGGGCGTCTGCGTGGGCGGATCGTGTAGTTCCCTAGCTACTTGTGGGACCACTATGGATTTGAATTTAAATTAAACGTAGAGAACGAAGTGGAAAGTCGGAAGGGCTCGCGTGACGGGTCTCCGAGGGAAGGAGCTAGGACGGTGACGGACGGGACCCTTAAGGGGCTCCGGAAGTAAGGCCGGCCCGGCTGCGCGGCAGGAGATTTCACCTCCAACGAGAAGAATCGGTGCAGGGCCGAAAAAAGGAGGCGAAGCAGATGAGAGCAGCGGCTC